CCGCGGAAGCCAGAAGGGCAGGGTCCTTCCGGGCGTCACTGCCGCCTCTGCCTGGGAACCGTCCCGTCCTGTCCCTCCCCTCCGTTCGGGGCTCCGCTCCCGAGGGTGTTGCCAAAACCACCCGTTGAGTGGGAACTGTGGTCCTGCCATCGACGATGGCTTGCAACGCCACCCTGCAGGGAGCCTCTACCTTCGAGTGGTCCTCCCTTCCAGTGAAGGGCAACAGCACTGACTGCAGAACAAGAACCTCTGGCTGCTGATTAAAGCCTGGCTTGGGAGCTGCTGTACTGTTTCACCAATTTCTGTGTCTTTCCGTCCACATACACCGTGGAGGAGAAAATGCCAGGAAAAGCCAAGCTGCAGCCACAACGTTCACACCTGGCTCCCCCTCTGTGGCCCCCGGTACCGAGGGGAAAACACTGTCTGCAATAAAGTGGAAGCATTTCCTCTCCCATTACAGCCTCTTTCAAAACTTCATCCTCATTTTGCTCTGTGTACTCTGCCCCAACCCCTCTCCATGTACATTGTCCTCTGGAAACAGCCACTGCCTTCTCCAGGGCCAACACGAGTCTCTGCTCTGAGGTACCGTCAAGTGCTAAGCCGGCTGTGCTCCACCATGGGATCAGCTACATGCAAGGCTTGTGTTTTCCTGATTCTCCCTCCATCAGTTACTGCATGGGTAGGTGCTGTGGTGGCACCAATGACTGTGGGTACGTAGAAGCTCCTCTCCTGCTCTTGTTAATCTCCTCTGTTTCAGTCTGTGGAGTGCTGGGATGAGAGGCTGCCCAGTGCCATTGTCACCAGCATTCCCAAGTTGGCCCATGGGCACACTCCGTCATGTGTGGCTGTAAAATCCTGTCTAGAGGCTTTTAAAATCCTAACATACCCAAACACACACATGATTATCCTTTTGGATTTCCCCCTCAGAAATAGGGGCAAGTGACTTTTTCTTACACATTCCTTACACAATTTTTTATCTATTACATTGTTTTAATATTTATGATAATCTAGCCAGTCAATTACATAACCATAATAATATAATACTATAATAATAAACATGTTATCATAATATAATTTTATAATGCAGTAGCTTGCTTTGTAAAAGTTGTCTTACAGTCTCTGAGCTTCTTATCCCTCTTCAACCAACACCAGAAAGCCCAGGCCTCTGAAGGATGAGTTTTAAGTCTTTTTTGCAACATTGTCATCTCCTGCAGAAACTCCACTTCTCAAAGCAAACAGAAAACAGCTCAAAGCAAGCACAATGCGTGAATATTCCCACACTGAATATTCTTAGGATCTTCCAGCTCTGAGGTCATCTTGAGCAAAACCAACTCTATGGCAAGTGATGGATTCTGCTGCTCCTCCTCACACACTCACCTCGTGGTTCAGGCAGTGTTCAGCCAAATCCTGTCAATGCACCCACCAGGCTTGATGGAAAGGCAACCAAATAATAATCAGCCTGAGCCTGACTGCACAGACAAGCACGGTACTGGAGCAAACCCCTGCACTTACTGAAATGCTACAGTTTCCAAGAAGTACAAGAAAATTCACCAGCTGAAGTAATGGCAGTATTCTTGCCCTTTCCAGGCTGAATTAGACATGGGAGAGGTGCATGTGCTGCTCTCACACAGTGCTCCCTTGCCAGGTGTTGCAGACAATGTTCTGAATACGGAAAGCTTAAAGCTCAGGGATTGCTGTCAAACCACCAAAATAGTTTAGCCAGGAAAGCAGTTTTGATCACATTTCCAGGAATCAAGAAAGGACTTTCAGTTTCAGTTTTAGGAGAATATGTTTTCCTGTGTTAAAAGAAAGAACTTTATTTAAATGGAATAACAAGGGGCTCTACAAAACATGACCAGAAGTCTTAGCTTTGTTATTTCAAACCTTAAAAAACTAACACTGAAAAAACTGTTGACTTAAGTCCTTGTCTTGCTTTGCTTGTGTGCGTGGCTTTTGATTTAGTTCCTGAGCCATGTTTGTTTCAACCCACAAGTTTTTTCACTTCAGCTCTTCTGGTTCTCTCCCCAGTCCTGCTGGTAGGGGAGTGACCAAGTGGCTCTCTAGTCCTTAGTTGCTGTCTGGGATTAAACCTTGCCAAGATGTGTCGAGCAG